TCTGGATTCTAGGCCAGCACCTTCCGTATAACCGTCCAGATAGAAATGTTCCTCGCCTTGTCCCGTGTGGCAGCCACTGGCCACGGGTGGCTCTTGGACACCTGGAATGTGGCTAGTTTGTGGCTGGGAGCTGGCTTTTAAATTTTTCTTGTTTAAACAAGGGCCTCCTCTTTGGACAAAGCACATTTCTTTGCAAAATGGAGCTTTTGGTGTTTTGTGGTTGATAAACAGCAGCTCACACTGAACGAGTGCCCGCAGTGTTAGTGCTTTTGCAGAGAATAAACTGAACTTATCCTGCCAGGGTCCCAGTGGGAGGCAGCTGCCCCTTCCCCATGTCACAGAAGGTTCTGGTGAAGTCAGAGCAGCTTGGAAGAGCTGGGTTGGGGCAGCAGACCTGAGACGCAGGCAGAGGCGATTGAGGGGTATCCCATTAGGACACGGGAGGTCCAAGCAGAAGGGTTTGGTCCCATCCTCTCACTGAACCCCACAGATGTGCCGTTTTCCAGAGAAACACCACTGTGGTGGGGGTGAGGTCAGTGGGCCTAGATTATACAAGGAGCCACACCCAGACTAAGCTGGATGGGGGAGGGGGGCGACCTGGCATCCCCAGGGACCAAGTGTCATTCAGTTTGTTGCCCAATCTCTCAGCACCCTTCTGTGATGTCCCCCTCAGGACAGCAGGTGGCCCTGGGACCCATGTCAGGAGGGTGTGAGGGCACCATGATGACCAGTACTGGGCTCCGACTGCCACTGAGGACACAGTGCCCCCCCAGGACCTTTGACACCCGGGGGTCTGAGGGGCCCTGACTCTGGGGAAGGCTCATGGGGTGTCTTGGCTGCCCTGCACCCTACTGACCTTCCCTCCCCTGTGCCCTCCTGCCTCCAGGTGCTGAAGGGCCTGACCATCACTTGGTAAGAACAGAGGAGGCTGCCTGTTACTCACGGTGATGGTGAGAAGGTGGATGTAGACAGGTGCCCAGCAAGTGCCAAGCCAGGCGCTGCCATAGGCACTGGGCTCATTAACCTTCTTAGTAACCCTGTTGGCGGGCGGAGGTGGGATGGGGGCTGGGACTGGGTTGTAGCAAGATGTCCAGTGTCAGGGGTCTTGAAAGGGCTGTACTTGGGGACCCCATGATGTCCAGCACTGGGCTCCGACTGCCCCTGAGGACATGGTGCACCCCAGGACCTTTGACACCCGGGGGTCTGAGGGGCCCCACTCCAGGAGGTGGTGGGTGGGGGTGTGGCCATTTCCCCCATTCAGCGCCTTTTCTATGTCCTTCCCCTGACAGCGTCCCTCCAGGCTCTCTGCTGTTTCCTGCCTAGGCGTGGCTGCAGCCATGGTTAGGAAAGTGCTGCACCCACCCTCCTGGGCCGGAGCTGGTTCTGCTGCTACAGGGATACTGAGCTCCTGGCTGTCTCAGTGCTTCGGGCAAGAACCGCAACAAGCTCTCCTGGGCCCTGCAGGTGTACGGCCGGGCCCCTGCCTTGTGCTTCATCTCAAGAACTGCTGCTGCTGGCCGACCTGATCCGACCTGACAACGTGCCATTTTCAGCTACCACTGCAAGGCCCTGAGGGCAACAGCAGCGCGGCACTGCCCACCTGGCTGCTGGTGGCCTGGTGCCAGCTGGGAGTCCTCCCAGCACTTCGAGGCCACTGAGCCGCCCTTCCAGCCCTGGCCCACCGTGGAGAGGGGTATCCAGCTTCCTCTTCAACCTCATCGTCTGCCCCCGCGCCAGTGACTCCCAAGGACATGCCTGTTAGGTTACCCAGGGCCTGTACCAGCGCCAGCTGGTCAAGGGCATGACGTTGTTCTAGGCCATCCTGGACATCCAGGCCATTGCCGACAGCAGGCTGCTTTCCATGAGCCAGAGGCTGCCAGGCTCACGCTAGGACCCAACCCAGTGCACAAGGACCTGGCTGCTGAGTCGCACACCCAGGAGAAGGTGGATGAGTGGGCTACCAAGGGCTTCCTGCAGGCTAGGGGAGGAGCCAGCCTGCTCCCCTGTTCTGACCAGGCCTGTAGGGAGGAGCTGCCCATATGCCGCCATGAGACCTGGGCCTGGCTCCGGAGGACAGATACCGCCTGGCCTGGTGCTCCAGGGGTGAAGCAGGCCAGAATCCTGGGGGAGCTGCTCCTGGTTTGAGCTGCAGTCAGGAAGTGCGGGACAGGGTAGGGGAGGCAAAAAGCCTTGGGCAGTACCCTCCCCGTGGAGCCATTCGGCATCCCTCGAGCTGGCCACACCCTGACACTATGTTCAAGGGCTCCGGAAGAGAGGGGTGTCTGTCCCCAACCTCTCCCCCGTGTGTGTCACTGGCCAGACGTTATGAGGGGAGCAGGCTGCGTGAGTGGACACTTACCATGAGTCCCTGGGGGGAGTGATTCCCCCAGGCATTGCATGCCATACTACATCTCTGTCCAGGCAGCAGGGTAGTGGGTACCATGGGTGCCCACTCCTCCACCACATGGAGCCCCAAAGCACTGCAGGCCAAGCAGGGAGACCCCACACCCATGACATAAAAGCATCTTGAAGCTTTCACTTAGTGTTTGTAAGGATTGGTTTGGTTTGTTTTTTGAGATGGTTTTTGCTCTTGATGCCCAGGCTGCAGTACAGTGGCGCAATCTTGGCTCACTGCAACCTCCACCTCCTGGGTCCAGGTGATTCTCCTGCCTCAGCCTCCCAAGTAGCTGGGATTACAGGCGCCTGCCACCACGCCTGGCTCTGTATTTTCAGTAGAGATGAGGTTTCACCATGTTGGTCATGCTGGTCTCGAACTTCTGACCTCAGGTGATCCACCCGCCTTGGGCTCCCAAAGTGCTCGGATTACAGATGTGAGCTGCCACCACCACACCAGGCCTGTCATGGGTTTTCTCTTAAGACCTCTATTGCTATGCCTTCTCTGAAAGTGTGCATTGGCTGTGTGCTGTGGTCAGCCCCAGTCCCTTTTGATGGGTGTGGTTTTGCTGTGTGTGGCTTCTGTCTGGTCTGAGTTCTGGGTCTGGGTTTAGGGTGTGTTGGGGCCAGAATCACAGGTGACAGCTCTGGGAGGACTCACTGAGCCCTGGCGGTTCTGGCTTCACAGCTGAGGTCTTGGGCACAGGGGCTCCTGTTAAACCACGGACATACCACTTAGCCCTCTGTGGGCTCAGCTGCTGAGCTGGGTCCAGGGGGATCCACCCAGGCCTCTGCCCACTAGCAGGCTCCCGGCTCTGCACAGGCCCTTCCAGCAGGCTGCTGGGAAAGGGTGGGCTCTCACCACCAGGTGAGAGGTGGTCACAGCCACAGGGAACCCCACCTGGCACTTGTGGTCTCCATGAACCTGCAAGGAAGCAGCCAGGCTCCCTCCCAGGGCCAGAAAGTATGAGGGGCATTCGTTCCTCAGCCTTCCCAGGGTGATGGCTCCGGGCATCCATTTGAGGTGCCCCATGACCACCCAACACCTCTAGGGAATGCCGGGAAGGGCAGTGAGGCAGGTCTGGGGACTCCCCAGGGACAAGTCTGCATGAGAGGCTGCCCTCAGGACCCTGGGAAGAAATGGGCTAGGGCGGTATGCAGGTGGCCCTGGTGTGGGGGAGGGGTCATCCCAGCCTCCACTCACTGGTGTTTCTGGACCCTGTTCCTTTTTTAGGTTCTGGTCACTGGGAGTGGCTTTGAACTTTGCTCCAACTGCTCCGTGTAATGGGGACCAAGTGGCTGTTACTAAGCGTCCACTGCACCCAGGCTCCCCACGAGTGCTCTGGTTAGACACTGCCACACGGCCATGGGTGTGGGACAAGGCCTGGGAGGGACTGGTGCTCTTCCCTGTGCCACACGAAGAGGCAGCCTCCCCTTGGGCCAGGGACTCAAATGGCAGCCATGCAGGTGCCCCACAACGCCTGCTACTGCATGAGTGGGGGTGGAGTAGCTCTCATCAGCATGTGATAAATGTTCGAGTGGTGGGTGCATGGCCCGTGCGATGGTTGGGACCCGAACACTCTGTTTTATTTAACCTAAATTTAAATAGCCACACGTGGTGGTGACTACTGTATTGGCCAGCGCCTCCACATCGCTTGCAGCATTGCAGTGCACAACCCAGAGAGCGCTGTCATCTTTCCCTGCTCTCTGCCTGCCCCCAGGAAGGAAGTCTGGGAGTTGAGGATTCTGCTGGCTTAGAGTCGTGGTTCTGCCGAGTGAGACACAGAAGGGCCTATTACTTGCCCAGAGGCGCACAGCCTTGGAAACCAGGCTTTGAATCGTGCACCTTTCTGAGGTCTCTGCTGCCGGATCCCCCTGACCCCACCCGAGTTCATGGTTGCTTTGAGAGCTGGTGTGGGTCACTTTCTAGACGAGGGTCCAACTCCTGTGAGCCCGGTCTCCACAGAGCACATGGCCCACATCGAGGCTCACTGAGCAAGCTCCTGTCACACAAGCTGCATGTGGAGGTACATACAGGGTCCACTACGTCCTCAGCCAGCCACATGCTTCCTATGCTTGCATAGAAACATGCATAAACATGCCAGCCGGGTGTGGTGGCTCACAACTATAATCCCAGTGCTTTGGGAGGCCAGGGCAGGAGGATTGCTTGAGGCCAGGAATTTGAGGCCAGCCTGGCCAACATACCAAGAAAACAAAACCAGGCATGGTGCACACCTGTAGAAACTGAAACGAGTTCGAAGCTGCAGTGAGCTATGCTTATGGCACTACTCCAGCCTGGGCCACAAAGTAAGACCCTGTCTGTACCAAAAAAAGTGCCATGCAGGCATGCCTGCTTGTTCAGACATGGGCACATTTGTGCTTGAATGTGTGCCACAGACACGTTTTTATCAGTAAGTACATACAGACTACCTGTGCACGCGCATAAGCGCAAAAACAGTGGTCACACGTGACATGCATGCATGCACACTCATGCCACTGTCACAGACGCGCATATGAGCACACACAAACTGGTTTCCAGGCCAGAGACTCCACCCAGCCCTCGTTCCCCACGCACACAGGCGCACAGTAAGTCACAGAAGCCAGAACAGCTAGTGAGCATACGTGTTGGGGTCCAGTGTCAGCTGGGGGTAGGGAAACAATGGTTTCTGGCTCACACGGGGCCCCCCAAGGCCCGCAGGCACCCTGGTCTCCAGGCCAGCAGGCCCAGCCCCAAGCTGAGTGCCACCAACACAGCTACAGCTCCGGCCAGCAGGGGCACCACTGGAGCTGCAGGGAGAACATGCAGGGTGTGAGTTTCAGGACTTGGAACCCTCCACTCCCACCCCAGCACAGAGGACTGTCACCTGGGGGGATGGCAGCCTCATAGGGGCCATGGCAGGAGACCCCATGGGCCGGAGGCCGAGCCGAGGCAGTCAGCTGGTAGAAGCGGCGTAGTGGACAGGGAGCCGGGCACCCGGGGAGACTGAGAGGCAGCGGCAGGTGGGCGGAGCCATTGCGGTAGAAGAGGGAGATGGTGACATTCCTGGAGAGAGAGGACACAGTGGCACCTTCTCCCTCCCGTCATTGATCTTAAAACCTGGAGAAACGGGCTCCTGACTCCCACCTGTTATCCTCCCAGCACCATCCCATGCAGTTCCCTGCCCCGCCATGCCTTCTGCCTAGCACATCACACCTTGCTTTGGGAGTTCTGTCCCGCCCATCTCCCTGGGCACCATCCCATCCTCACCCTCCGTTTTTATCAGGATCCCTCAGGTGCCTCCGGAACTCAAAGCCGAGGCAGGCGGCATATGGCGGGGTGTGTCCATCATAGAGGCCCAGGGCCGCCTGGAGGGCCAGCAGGGTACTGTCATGCTGCAGGTGGAGCCAAGGGGTGAGATGACACTTCTCCCTGGAGGCCTCCTTTCTCCTGAACACTAGACTTGTGCATCCAGATGTCCCCCAGGCTGCTTGGAACCAACCCCCCAAACTTGCTCTTCCCTCCCTCTCACCCTGAAGGCAGTACCAACAGTTACAGGCGGCCATTTAACAAAGATGGCTCAAATAGGTGCAAAATATGATTGGACTAAGCAGCCTGTCTCCTCTGGAAGGACAAACTGCTTAGTCCAATATTTTCTTTTTTTTCTTTTTTTTTTTTTTTTTTTTTTGAGACGGAGTCTCGCTGTCGCACAGGCTGGAGTGCAGTGGCCGGATCTCGGCTCACTGCAAGCTCCGCTTCCCGGGTTCCCGCCATTCTCCTGCCTCAGCCTCCCAAGTAGCTGGGACTACAGGCGCCCGCCACCTCGCCCAGCTAGTTTTTTGTATTTTTTAGTAGAGACGGGGTTTCACCGTGTTAGCCAGGATGGTCTCGATCTCCTGACCTCGTGATCGGCCCGTCTCGGCCTCCCAAAGTGCTGGGATTACAGGCTTGAGCCACCGCGCCCGGCCAATATTTTCTTAATGAAAACAAGGAATTATCTTTAATTCATACATTCTTCCTCCCGTAACACCATCACCTCCCTCTTTCCAGACTAATGATATAGCCCAAGAGTAGGGTTTGGAGATACAGGCTACCCAAGGCAATGGACTGGGGTCCATTGGGACCGCAGGCTCTTCCTCACCCAAATCGCTGTCACCCTCATCCCTGTGCCTCAGTGTCATATGGCACTGCTTCCCAAGGACTCACGGCTGAGTACATGACCATCTTGAGGGGCAGCCCCAGGCGCTGGACCCGGGAGAAGTTTGCAAGGATAGCATTCAGCAGGATCCCTGAGGATGGGAAAAAAGAGCTTAGAATCTCCCAGAGGGAGGCACCCCAGCCTCCCAGCCCCACACCTCACCCCCTGTCAACTGGGCCTTCTCTGCTGCCCGGGGTGGGCCCACGTGGGCTCCAATATCCAAAGCCGAGATCTGGGCAAGGGTCCGCAGGACATCTGGGGAGGCCCAGGCTGGTAGTGGAAGACCATGGGCTTGCTGTGGGGAGACGGGAAGAGAAGACTGACGGACCATCCTGAGCCCTCGAGTTTGCCTCTGGCCCCACAGGCCTGTGCTGCCCCCTGCTCTTTTGAGTTTCCCATGGGCTGGATCTGGATCAGGCTGGGAAATCATGAATGTGGACAGCAGTGTGGTTTTTTTTTTTTTTGCTTTTTTTGTTTTTTTGTTTTTTTTTGAGATGGAGCCTTGCTCCATCACCCAGGCTGGAGTACAGTGGCACAATCTCGGCTCACTGCAATCCTCGCCTCTTGGGTTCAAGTGATTCTCCTGCCTCAGCCTCGCGATAGCTGTGATTATAAGTGCGTGCCACCATGCCCAGCTAATTTTTGTATTTTTAGTAGAGACAGGGTTTTACCATGTTGGCCAGGCTGGTTTCGAACTCCTGACCTCAGGTGATCCACCCACCTCGGCCTCCCAAAGTGGTGGGATTACAGGCGTGAGCCACCGCGCCCGGCCAACAGCGATCATTAATTAATAATAGACGTTGTCATTCCACAGCCCAGAAGGCTTTATCTGAAACCCCTGGGACCAGAGGGGTTTCACAGCTCAGACATTCTGGACTTCAGAAAGATCTGATGGTGCTGACACCACATAGCACGGAACACACACAGCAAGGGCTGGGGCAGCCCCCTTAGTCACACACATCGCTGCTCCCACCCTGTGATTTGGAACATTCCGTGAGCTGGAGCGAGCAAAGACTAGCAAGAGTGCTAGCTAGGTGTGGTGGCTCGCGCCTGTAATCCCAGCGCTTGGGGAGGCAAAAGGATTGTTTGAGCCCACGAGTTCCTGGGCAACATAGTGAGACCCCATCTCTGAAAAAAAAATTTTTTTTTTTTTTTTTTTTTTTTTTTTTTTAATTAGCCAGGCATGGTGATGTGCACCTGCCTCAGCTACTTGGAAGGCTGAGGCAGGAGGATTCTTATAGCCAGGGAGATGGAGGCTGCAGTGAGTTATGATAATGCACTCCAGCCTGGGTGACAGAGCGAGACCCTGTCTATTTCAGGTCAGCTCCCACCGCCCAGGTTTTGGGTTTTCTGATTACAGGACTGTGGGGAGGAATTGCCAAATGTGTAGCCTCAAACCCTAGCAAGGCCTTCACTGTGTGCCAGGCACTGTTGTAAGCACAGTGCGTAGATTAACCATTTGAATCCTCACGGCGTCCTGGGGAGGTGTTGATACCCGTGTTGCCATCCCCACTGTGCAGATGGGAAAACTGAGGCACAGAGGGTTAACTAAATGCATGAGGGAACAGGGCTAGTGAGTAGCAAGCTGGGATTGGAAACAGTTGTCCTTAAACCCTTGGCTGGGAAGGGGCGGGGCTCACCTGGCACATGAGTGTGTCCAGAACCTTCCATGCCCTGCGCAGCGGCTCTCCAACCAGCGACAGCCCCGTGAAGTTCTCCAGGCGAGTCAGGAAGCCCTGGATGCGCGGGGCTGGGTGAGCCCTGGCCGGTCCCCTGCGCCTCGCCCCACCCCGCCACCGCCCTGCTCACCGTCCAGCCCTCCAGGGCCTCCTGGTACTCAGCGGCCTCAGTGGCCTCCCGCAGCAGTTCGTGGTATCTGGGACAGCTGCGCATGGGGAACCTCAGCAGCTGGGGAGAACTGAGGCTCAGAGAGGACAGCCACGTGCCTTGGGTCTCACAGCGGGTTGGGGGAACCCAGGCTCTCTGCCCCCGGGTCTGTCGCAGTTTCTCCCAGATCCAGAAGAAGCCAGACAGACCGGCTCGAGGACAGCGTTGCTTCTCGGAGCTAGCTCAGGTGGCCAGACCCAGAGCTGCCTCTCTCTCCACCCGCTCCCTCCCTCACCACACCTGGGTCCAGCGCCCTGACCTTGTCCTCAGCCACGGGCACCGTGTGCACTGGGATCGGCCTCCAGTGGGCCTCCGGGCTCCCTGGAGCAGCCTCGGGAAACAACCCGGCAAGGTTGGCCTGCGCGCTCTCCAGTGTGCGGTCGAAGTCCGTGCTGCGGATGTACACCTGGAGCGGGGTGGAGACAGGGCAGGCGGGGGGTCGTGGTTGGGGTCAGAGGTCAGCTGTGGTGGCAAATCAGAAGCCTCAGATTCAGTTTGGAATAGGGGTCAGACACTGAGAATCATGTGGCCGTCAATGTTGGAAGTTGGGATCAAGGGTCCAGAGGTTAATGTCAGGAGCAGTTGGGCTGGATGTCCTAAACTGGACAGCCATGTTGGATTTAGGGGGTCATTTGAGTCAATGAGGGTCAAAAAGGAAGATCAGAATCGGTGGAGGCTGGAGGTTAGAGGTCAAGTTTAGGAGGGCAGCGTGGAGGCTTGGTGTCAGAGTTCAATACATGTTCATCGGAGGTCAGGAGGACTGTCTGTAACTGGGGGATGTCAGAAGACATAGGAGGAAACAAAAGAGGTAGGTCAGAATTGACAAAGTGTAGAGGTTAAAGGTTAGAGGTCAGGAAGGCAAGTTATGTCAATAAGGGTCAAAGATCGAAATCAAGTTTGGGGTCAAATGTCAGAGGCCAGAGGTCTGATTGGAGTCAACGGGACTAGAAAACAGAGATGGAGGCCAAATAATAAAGTCAGAGTTGATGGAGGTCAGAGGTCGAGATGTGACAGGTTGAGATGGAGTCAGAAGTCAGTGTGGGTTAATCAGTGTACCGGGGGTCAGAGATTAGAGGTAGAGGGCAAGTCAGGTTGATGGAGGTCAAAGGCCAGAGGTGGAGGCCCAAAGAGAGTGTTGTAGTCAGTGGAGGTCAAAGGTGGAAGGTCAGGGGACCAGGTGGGGGTGACTATGGCAGTACCTCCTCCCGCCGGTACTCAGGACTCAGGAAGGCCTCATAGCGGCTCCTCAGGAAGCGGCCCAGCTCCAGCTGCTGGCGGACCCCCTCCTGGGGACAGAACAGCCTTAGTCTACCCCTCTCCCCCCCTCCCACCCTTGCCGTCACCTCCCACCCACTTCTCACCCTGGTCAGCTGGCCCAGGCCTCGTGGCCACAGGGTGGAGGCCACCTCCTTGTGTGGGTCCGTGGGGTAGGAGGCCAGCGGGGCCCGGTCGCCATGGCGGAATACCTGGGGACAGGACTGGTCAGGGCTAGCCCTGGGGGAGCTGAGGGCAGGCCGGGGCGGGGGCGCCTCACCAGAGCCACGAACACCAGAGATCCTTCTGGCAGGGCCCGGGGTGGCAGCAGCAGCAGCAGCAGGAGCAGGAGAGGTCCAGCAGGGTGGCCCCAAAACCCCAGCCCGGCCATTTCCACCCAGCCCAGACGCTGAGCTCAGCCCACTGTCTGGGCCGCAGTCCCGCCTGTCCCAGCCCTGCACTCAGCACCCCCATTATAGCAGGCCCTGGCACGCTTCCCCAGGGGCCACAGATCCCATCCCCCAGCGCCTCTGCCAGTCTTTGATTAACCCGTTTCATCTTCGTTTCATCTTCACTGCTGCCCCAGCAGACGCTTGATGTGCTCGTCATCATCCCCATTGTGCCGATGGGGAAACTGAGGCACAGAAGGGTTCTGTAACTTGCCCAAGAAAACACTGAGGTTTCTCAGACAAAGCTGCGCTTTGAACCCAGGTGCCTTTAACCTGGATGCAGACTTGGAAAGAGACCCTCACCCCGCATTGTTCGTCTCAGCCACAGCCTCGACCCCCTGAGTCAGAGAGGTCGACGGTCGCAACCATGTGCTGGATTTTCTGTACTTTGATGCGCTGACACCAGGGGCCTTGCTGTTCATTAGAAGGACCGCCCCTCCCGGGGTTCCCAGTTCCTGGAAATAGTCACGGACTGGCGCAGGCGCGTGCCTCTTCTGTACAAACCAGCCAACCCAGAGCCCACACCCCAACCACCCGGGCCACCATCCACCTGCCCTGATCACCTGGGGCAGGGTACTGGACAACTCAGGACAGCCCCTGTGCCCCAGAGCCTGCTGAAATGGCTCCACCAGCCACTCTCTACCCTACCTTATCCCACAGAAAACACAAAGAAGCTGCTTGCTTCAGGTCTGTCTCCCGGGCACCCCAGTGCCTCCTCCCCATGTGGCCCCCGTGGCATGCTCCCTCCGCTGGAGAAACTGGGAGTATAACAAGTCATCTTTCTTTCTTTCTTTTTTCTTTTTTTTCTTTCTTTCTTTTTATTTTATTTTATTTTATTTTATTTTTTTTTTTTTTGAGACGTAGTCTTACTCTGTTGCCCAGGCTGGAGTGCAGTGACATGATCTCAGCTCGCTGCAACCTCCACCTCCCAGGTTCAAGAGATCCTCCTGCCTCAGCCCCCCTAGTAGCTGGAATAACAGGCATGTGCCACCATGGCCAGCTAATTTTTGTTTGTTTTTTTTTTAGTGGAGATGGGTTTTCACCATGTTGACCAGGCTGGTCTCGAACTCCTGACCTCAGGTGATCCACTCGCCTCGGCTTCCCAAAGTGCTGGGATTACAGGCGTGAGCCACCGCGCCCAGCCAACAAGTCATCTTTCAGTGGCAATCGTCTGCTGCTCGGGCGGCCTTACCATCCCACAGTGCTGATAAAATCTACACTTCTCAGCACCGTCTGGGGCTGGCTGGCTCTCCTGCCTCACTGTGCACAGTCAGCCTCCAGTCCTGTCCTGTTTTGTTTGTTTGTTTGTTTGTTTGTTTGTTTGAGACAGAGTTTTGCTGTATTGCCCAGACTGGTCTGAAACTCCTGGGCTCAAGCAGTTCTCCCACCTCGGCCTCTCAAAGAGCTGGGATTACAGGTGTGAGCTCCTGCACCAGTTACGGAAGTTTTGTGAATCTCTCTCTCTCCCCGTACTTGAAATACGATAGAGGCCCCTGGAATAAAGTAGTAGAAGAGCTGGAGGCTTAAGCCAGACCAGGAGCTGGCAGCTCACACCTGTAATCCCTGAACTTTGGGAGGCCAAGGTAGGAGGATTGCTTGAGGCCAGGAGTTCAAGACCAGCCTGGCCAACATGAAGAGACCCCCACCGCCCTGACTCCATCTCTATAAAAAATAAACAAAAATTAGCCAGGCATGGTATGGTGGCGTGTGCCTGTAGTCCCAACTACTCAAGAGACTGAGATGGGAGGATTGCGTGAGTCCAGGAATTTGAGGCTTTAGTGAGCTATAATCATACCTTTGCACTACAGCCTGGACAACAGAGTAAGACCCTGTCTCTAAAAAAAATAGAAAAGAGAAAAAAAAAAAAACCCTGAAGCAAAATTAAGAAACTAGAAACCATGTTCTAGCCCCTGGAGATGTCAGCACTTTAATATCTACTGATGTATTGGCTGCTGTGACAGGTTACCACTCAGTGGCTTAAAATGACACACATTTATTCCATTACAGTTCGGGAGGTCGGAAGTCTGCAATCAATATAACTAGGCCAGGCATGGTGGCTGACACCTGTAATCCTGTCACTTTCTGAGGCCAAAGTGGGCAGATCAGTTGGGTCCAGGAGTTTCAGACCAGCTTGGGCAACATGGTGAAACCCTGTCTCTACTAAAAATACCAAAAAACTAGCCAGGTGTAGTGGCGCACGCCTGTAGTCCCAGCCACTTGTTGCTTGAGCCCGAAGTTGAGGCTGCAGTGAGCCCTGATTCTGTCACTCCACTCCATCCTGGGCGACAGAGCGAAACCTGATGTTTAAATGCAGTTTTTCATATATGTACTTCTTACCAAAATGAGATCATACAGAACCTGCAATTTTGTAACCTGCGTCTTTCAGTTAACCTCCTCTTCTCCTTGGCAACAGTGCTTTGGTCTTGTCTGATACCCACTCCCTGTTCAAATGTCCCTCCATTTCTCCCCAAAGAGACTTTGTTTGGTTTTGTCTTCTGAGACAGGGTCTCACTCTGTCACACAGGCTGGAGGGCAGTGGTACAATCTCGGCTCACTGCAGCCTCTGCCTCCTGGGTTCTGGTGATTCTCGTGCCTGAGCCTCCTGAGTAGCTGGGACTATAGGTGCACACCACCGCACCTGGCTAATTTCTGTATTTTTAGTAGAGACAGGGTTTCGCCACGCTGCCCAGGCTGGTCTCAAACTTCTGGCTTCAAGCCATCCTCCTGCCTCAGTCTGCCACCTGAAGAGCCTTTATAACTTGTTTGTCTAAACCAAAACCTGGTCCAGGATCACCCATCAAAGCTGGTCCTGCGTCTCTTAACGGATTTTTTCAAATATAGCAAGGCCACTTGCTTTTGTTTTGCATTGTGGCATGGATTTGTTGGAGAGACGGTGCTCCTTGCTCTGCAGAATGTGTTGCCTTCTGGAATTTTCTGGGTAATGCCCTGAGGTATTGTTTTACAATCCGTGTTATTCATGGGAGCGATGTTGTACAACTGTGACCACTGAATCAGCAAATAAGGACGCACTGCTTCATTAATACAAGTATATATTTTTCTATTTACTTATTTATTTTTATTTATTTATCACGCCACTCTGTTGCCCAGGCTGGAGTGCAGTGGCGTGATCTCAGCTCAGTGTAACCTCCCCCACCTGGGGTTCAAGTGTTGCCCGTGCCTCAGCCTCCTGAGTAGCTGGGACTACAGGTGCACACTACCACACCCGGCTAAATTTTTTGTTTTTTTAGTAGAGATGGGGTTTCACCGTGTTGGCGAGGCTGGTCTCAAACTCATGACCTCAAGTGATCCTCCCGCCCTGGCCTCCCAAAGTGCTGGGATTACAAGTGTGAGCCACCGCACCTGGCCTATATTTATATATATTTAAAGAGATGGGGTCTTACTATGTTGCCCAGGCTGGTCTCGAACTCCTGGGCTCAAGCGATTCTCCTGTCTCACTTGCCCAAAGTGTTGGGATTACAGGCATGAGCCACCGCACCCAACCATATATATGTGTGTGTGTATATATAGTATATATATATAGTACATATATAGTACACATATATAGTACATATATAGTACATATATATGTACACACACACACACACACGTATTTCCCCAATAAGTGTTCACAGTTGTACAACATAGCTACCAAAAACAGCAAGACTCTATCTGCCAGAAATAATGCAAATAGCTACCTGAATAGCCAGATTGTATAGTCTCCTTTTTTGTGGTAGTGATAGGTAAATAGATATCTCACACATGCATGTATCACATGTATTTTATTTTATTTTATTTTTTAGTTGTAGTTGTGGAGACAGGATCTCGCTCTGTTGCCCAGGCTGGAGTGCAGTGGCGTGATCTTGGCTCATGGCAACCTCGACCTCCTGAGCCCAAGTGATCCTCCCATCGGGAGGAGGAAATTTTGCCTGGACCTCCTCAACTGTTCTCCTGGCCTGCAGGCTCCTACTGTGAGATATTTCTACATCCAGAACTGACTCGGTCCCTCCCCTGCTCTCAACCCTCCCATGGCTCCCCAGCACCCTCCAGGGAAAAACCCAGACGCCTCAGTATGGTGTTCGAGGTTCAGACTCTCCAGTCTCACATGTCCCGATGTCACGTTCAGATGCCGCGTGTGGCGGGCCACACCAGGGTCTGTCTCTGCCCTGTGCCTCTGCCAGAATGCCCTTCCCCCGTTGCCCTGGCCACCATTCTTGTTGTTCTGACAACCCCCTCTTGGGGTTCCAGTGGCTTCTCCCCTCTCTGGCTCAGAGGCCCAGGAAGGGGAGAGAAGACCAAGCAAGGGGTGGCTGGAATCCCAAGGCCATGAACTTTCAGGAAGTGAGGAGGGGTCTGGCAGGGAAGGGAGGCCTAGGGCGGGGCAGAGGACGGGGAGGGGAAGGTTCCTGACCTCTGATCTCCTCCCCCCAGAATGTGACTCTGGCCATGGCCGTGTTCACCATCCTGACCTCCATCTACTTCTTCAACAAGGTGAGCAGGAGGAGGGCAGAGGTGGGGGCTGAGTCTCTGTCTCCCTGGTCCGGTTTTGTCATCTTGGTCTCTCTTTCTCTTCCACGTCTCTGTATATCTCCCTGTTTTCCTCTCTCAGGCTCAGCAGTGAGAAGACGCGGGACCTCCCCACCCAAAAGCCCTGCCTCTGCCCGGACCATCGCTCTGAGGCCGAATAAATGTAACTGAATCTGCACATCCTGCTCCCCTGCCCACTGCCCCTGCGCCCGGCCTCAGGCCTACATCACACCTGGGGACTCCGTGTTTCAGGAGGGACTGGGGTGGGGGTCCGGACTCCAGAGTCTGAGGTAGGAGAGTGGTGAGGGCCCACCCTCTCAGGTTTGAGGCTAGGAGCTGGGAGTCTGAGTTGGGTTTTGAGGGATGAGTAGGAGTCTTTCTGGGGCATTCCAAGAAGAGGAAGAACATGTCAACTCTG